GGGAGTTTCTCCACTTTAAAGCTGGAAGATAACAGAGCCAAAGTTCCTGTACAAATCTCTAGTCTAACATACATTTTCACATGCTTAGGTCTCAACATACCTCAACTTAAAGAGCTCCAATTCCTTCTGCGCCGTTTCATATTCTAATTCTTGTACCTTCTTTTGTAGTTCATGCATTCCTGATATTATTTGATGTGGAGAAAATGGAGAATCCCAAAAGAGAGAGGAGATACAACGTGAGATCATGCAAGAGGGCACATGTGTGAAATGTGGCGATAACAGCCATTTCTTTATCAAAATGACATATTGTTACAACTATACATAAGTTCATCTCTGAACTTTCACCAGAGAAGCCTCTTCTTGTAGTGCATGGTGATTGACCCAGAGGCCCTCAACTGGTCAACCTGTGGAGAATAAGAGACCTTGCAATGCTCCACCTTAAATCAAGCATCCACATCATACCACTCCCCGAAAGGCTTGGGGAGGGTCCTGCATCCAGGATTTCCAACAGTTTTCCAAAATCTGCATTTGGGAGTAAGTGGGTATAAGTTAGATACATGATGCTTTTTGCACACAATGGTTTGTGTATTTTCATATTCTGTCATTCACAGTGAACAAATGAGTGGTTATAATCTGGAAAACATACTAAGATGTGGGAATAAATCTCTGCTTTTATTTAGCTTGGAGTCAGGTGGAGAGGACAGATAAAATAACCCTTGTAAATTTAGATATATGCTATACTAAAGCAGAAAATTCTGTATCTGTTTACACTGGACACAGGAAGTTTTCCCATTAGAATGGATTGATATGCTAAAAAACTAAAAGTGGAACTGGATACACAGTAACAGTTATGCTGAAGGTGAAGAGCATCTAGGCAATCTAAAGGCTTTGAGTAGACTGCAAGGTGATTTTAGGCAGGGAGGAGAAATAGATTCTGATTGATGGCACTCTTTGAAACAAGATCAAAACAGTGCAAAGAATGTAACACCTAGAAAACGAGGAGGAACATGGCAAATACCATCTTCTGGACATGGTATGACCATTACAGTCATGAATTCAGACAACTGTGGCTATGTACACTGTACCTACAAAAGACTTAACTCGGCAACATTCCATCATGGATGGGGAAGGGGCACATGTAGCTGGGCTGCTCCTTGAGGAACTGTTAATGGCTACTGGGAGAAGGAAGGAGTCATAGTTCCTCAGTGATACAGCAACTGGGAAGATGCCTGTCCCACCCCCATGTTCACACAAGCAAGTGTAATTAAACTTACCAGGTCTTAGAGGATACGAATGTAGAAGGGAAAGTTGCTGGGAAGAAGGGGGTCAAATGAGTGGAAAAAGGGGAAAATACGATAATAGAGAGTGAATAAATTTAGATATATGCTATACTAAAGCAGAAAATCTGTATCTGTTTACACTGGACACAGGAAGTTTTCCCATTAGAATGGATTGATACACTAAAAAACTAAAAGTGGACCTGGATACACAGTAACAGTTATGCTGAAGGTGAAGAGCATCCTAGGCAGTCTAAAGGCTTTGAGTAGTCTGCAAGGTGATTTTAGGCAGGGAGGAGAAATAGATTCTGATTGGTGGCACTATTTGAAACAAGATCAAAACAGTGCAAAGAATGTAACACCTGGAAAACGAGGAGGAACATGGCAAATACCATCTTCTGGACAAGGTATGACCATTACAGTCATGAATTCAGAAAACTGTGGCTATGTACACTGTACCTACGTAAGACTTAACTCGGCAACATTCCATCATGGATGGGGAAGGGGCACATGTAGCTGGGCTGCTCCTTGAGGAACTGTTAATGGCTACTGGGAGAAGGAAGGAGTCATAGTTCCTCAGTGATACAGCAACTGGAAAGATGCCTGTCCCAGACCCATGTTCATGCAAGCAAGTGTAATTAGCCTTACCAGGTCTTAAAGGATACGAATGTAGAAGGGAAAGTTGCTGGGAAGAAGGGGGTCAAATGAGTGGAAAAAGGGGAAAATACGATAATAGAGAGTGAAAATGATCAAACTACATTATGTACATGTCTGAAATCATCGAAACATAAATCAGAATGTTGAAAAAATAAAAACAAGTAAAATACATGGGAGACACGCAGGAATATGCCTCAGGAATAAGAGCTTTTATTCTAGATAAGCAGATAGTCATCCTTGGCAAGGTCTCAGTTCCACACCATGAGATGTGGTTCAGGAAAAACAGAATGACAACAAACAGAAGCAGAGTCTACCACACCGCTGGGCATTAGGTGGCAGGACTCTAGTAAATCCAAAGCAGAGTAGATCGAGCAGTGGAAAAGAACTCTGCAGTCTACAGAGTAACTCAACCACTTAGCAGAGTAATGAGAATGCAGGTGTTGCCGATTTAATATGAAATACCCCCTATAAATTCACATGCTTGAATACTTGGTCCCTCGCGGGAGTGCTCTTTGGGTTGTGAAAACCTCTGGACATTGGACAAAGCTAGTATAAACAGGGTCAAAGACTTTAGGCTTAAGGGTGACAAGCTGGCACGTCTTTGGGACCAATCCGTGTCCTGGTGGGCACCACGCAGCAAGAAGCTGCTGTGTACTGCTGTTGTGACCCGGGAACTCTGCCGTGCCTTCCTCATCATGTTGCACTTCTCCCTCTGCAATAATTAGCCAAAATAAACCCTTCCTTCCTCATGGTCCTTCTTTCTTCTTGGATATTTCCATCGAGGCAACAGGAAATTGACCCTGGAGAGTAAGCTTTTGTGAGAAATCTGACCATGTAATTTGTAGGACTTTTGGAGTTCCTTTGTGGGAAGATTGTGGAAGGGTTTGAACCTGTGATGGAGACAAACCCCAGAATATGTAAGTAGAGTTTAATGGGCTATTCTGGAAGGAGCTCAGATGATCAGAATGCCAATAGAAACACAGAGAGTAAAGACTGTGTCATGAAGTTTCAGAAAGTGAGAAGGATTATGATAGGAATTTGGATAGAGGTCATTCATGGTACGTATCTCAAAGAAATTGATTCTGATCTGCTTCTGTCCTGAAAAGTAAAGACTGGATTCAAGACTAACAGACTAAATTATGAGGTAGAGGAAATTGCAACCACAATATAACCTTTGCAGAGGCATGGTTCCTACTCACTGCTTTTAAACAGATTTACAGTGAGAATGGGTAAAACGTGGGGCAGAAAGATATGAAAAATATGTCAGGTCATTTAATGTTGCATTCATTGTTATTGCAGTCCAGTTAGCTGCAAAGAAAATAGTGCTAATTGCAAAAGAGGTTAAATTTATTGCTGCAAAGTTAGTAATTGAAGAAGACCTTAGAATATAAAGAGAATTCTCACATTCACAAACTGGTAGAATTTATATAGTAAAAAATTGATGTGCCGTTGAAAATGACTTACATCTTCAGTGCAATCTCTATCAAAGTTCCAATGAAATTCTTAACAGAAAGAAATAAAAGGTGTCAACATTTCTGTGGAATCAAAAAGACTCTACAAATAGTCAACATACCCCTGAGCCGTTGAAGTAACACACTCTTTAAAGTACATTAGAGAGCCATAGAAGCAAAAATAGCTTGGTACTGGCACAGACAGAGACACATTGGCCAAAAGAATAGCTTAAAGGTCCCATAAAAACCACCTAGACACAGACTCTCTGTCATTAATATAGTTGTCAAAAACACACCTTTTTGAAAAGACAGCCTCATCAAAGAATGCAAAGGGAAATGGATATTACCAGCAGAAGAATGCAACTAGAGCCCTATCTCCCTCTTATACAAAAATGAAAATAGAAATCCTCAGTGGATGCCCCAAACTCTGCATTTAGTAAGAGAACACAAAGGGGAAAAATTAGTGTATCAACATAGCAAGACTTTCTGAAAAGAACTCCAGCGGTTCAGGAAACAATCATAAGAAATGGGGTTTCATGCGCCTTCTGCATAAGCAAAGGAAATGCTCAACAAAGAGAAAACAGTCTACAGGTTGTAACACAGACTTTTTGTCTATACATCTGACAGGGCATTGTTAAAATCTAGGAAGACCTCAAAAAATTCAATAACAAGGAACTCATAACACAATGTGCAAATAAAAAGGTGAAACGGGCAGACACTACTCAGGAGATGAAGTAAAATGCTAGATAAACACGTGGAGAAAAGTCCAACGTTCAGCATCAGAGAAATGCAATTCGAGACTCTTTCAAATTCCATTTCACCTCAGAACAAACAGTTGTGATTTCCAAAAGAACAACCATGATTTACTAGGAGGAGCGTGGACAAAGGAACACTTTGTAGTGTTGGTGGCAATGGAATGTGAACTATTAATACACTGTGGAAATCAGTATAAAGTTTACTCAAAAAATGAAAACAAATAAAATCAAAGATAAAACACCGTTGACTTCATCATGCTCCGCCAGTTCTGCAAAGGAACCCAATGACATAGAAGTGAGCACAATGCAGGGCTGCCCTCCAGTCCAGGTTTACTGCACACAGTATTTATTTTTATTCTATCTGTGTGTGAGTGTCCGGATCCAGTTATGTGCACCACGTGTGTGCAGTGCCCTCAGAGGCCAATGGAGGGCATCCAACCCCCCGGAACTGAAACTACAGGCAGTTGTGGGTCACCTCCTGGTGCTGGGAACCAAACCCTAGCCCTTTGCAAGAACAGCAGTTACCCTTGGCCCCTGAACATTTTCTCCAGCACAAAGTTATGGTTTTATCAGCAAATGGATGCAGAAAGAAATCTGATATGAACATCTGCATGTGCACATTATGTGACATGAGAGCAGAAGAGGACACCTTGGCAGGAGGAGAGGCACTAATGGGAAGGAGGAAATGAGAAGTTAGTGTGCTGGTCAAGGTGAGCAGAGTACACACTACACTTGTATGAAAAAGTATTATTATGCCCATCAGCTTCACAATCCATACAAACTAGCAACTAGATTTAGGAAAGATACTAGCATAATTGAAGGGGAATTAACACAGTGCTCTGTGACAACAGGCATGGTGCCTTGCAGATAAGACCCTATCCTACGCATGCATGGCTCCAGTGTACCCTCCTCCAACAGGACCATCTAGGGACATATTTTGGAGGCTGCTGCAGCTGTGGCTCAAGGAGGCTAGGCTAACTCTCAAGCTGGCAGCAGAAGCCCAAGTGTTCATCAACATACTGCTTGTATTTCAGAGAAGCAGAATAGAAGAGCATGGGGGCACGGAGGCTTGATCCAAGTTTGAGAACACCTGCTGAGGTCAGACAATGTACTGCTTGTAGAGGCAGGAGTAAAAAACTTTGTGCTGAAGCCAAGTTACAGTGGAGCCTAAGGAACTTGGACGTGTCAGGGTTGTGGAGTGCCTGTAAAGGAAAGTTTCCAACCTTGAGCCAGGTAGTCCAAATGAAACCCTTGTGGAACTGAAGACAACAGAGATGAAGGATTAAGGAAAGCCAAACCCATTGGAGCCCAGGTGATGAAGATGATCATGAGTCTATGGGGGTCAGGGGTAGACTGTTAGTGTCTCAGTGTCAAATAACCCCACAGGTTCATCTATGTGAACACTAGTCCCTATCTGATGGCAGTTTTAGGAAGTTGTGTAACTCTGTGCACATTCTGCCTAGATAAAGAATCTTGGGGCAGAGCTTGAGGGTTAGAGACTGTCTCTACTACTGGCCCAAGCTTTCTGCTTCCTGGGTGTGGCAATGACACAAACAACTATCCCATACTCCTGCTGACATGACATGACCTCTGTTATGCTTTGACCCCTCTGGTGGACTTCATCCTTTCAAACTGTGACCTAAATTTCATCCTTCCTGAAGTTGCTTCTTCTCAGGTGTTTTGTCACAGTAGCTAGAAAACAAACTAATACCTTCAGGTGATGAACCTATCCATGCTTGAGGATAAAAGACTAAAATGATTATAATAAACTCTACTTGGTGTTCAGACGGTGTCAAAGAGGGGTGTTCATTCCCACCACCCAGATTGGATGGAATTGTAATTCATAGCACCATGGGTAAAATAATCTGAAATCTCTTTCCTTAGCATTAGGGAAGTAACTCTAGACTACACACTGTCCTGATACACCCACCAAAGTGTAAATACAAAAACGGGCTAGACTCAAGCTGTGCATAAATAATTGTATTCAAATATAAACAGCAGGCAAGGAAAAGATATAAGTTAATCCCAGCACTTGGGAGACAGAGGCAGTTGTATTTCTGTGAGTTCAAGGCCATCCTGGTCTACATAGCTAGTTCAGGCAAGCTGGGCCTACAGGGGAGACCCTGTCTCAAAAAGACCAAAAAAATAAATTCAAATTGCCCCCTGATAGGGATACAGACTCATGGAAATCAGGGACACAGTCTCACAGAAATCCAACACTGTGATGTCAAACATTCTACCTAGAGCTGATCCTTCAATGACAGAGGAAGAGCTTACATGTGGGTTTATTGAGATATGAGACATAGATGAACAATACACCCTAAAAAAGAAATCTTATCAAAAGGATTATGTAAAATTTAAGTCACATAAAACATGTTCACAGATCACAAAGTATTCCAATTAGATATCAATAACCAAAATATCTGAAAGGTATATATGTTAGGAATTAAATTAAATAACACATATACATATAAACCTGGGCCAAGGACATAATGAAACCAGAAATCACAATGTTTGAGACACTAAAAATAGAAGATATTAGAATTCATAGAAAGTGACTACAGCCAAATCTCAGTGAAATTACTAGCACCTTCTATTAGAAGAATCTCAAATCAAAGATCTTGACTTCCTCCTAAAAATCATGTTGGCAGAGGCAGTTCTAAGATTACTGCAGTATTGTGGATAAAGACCATGATAAATGACCTGGTGATGGTAAAGGTACAGGAGACAAGCTGGGTTAACATAATCAGTAGAAGTGTGACTCACAGAAAAATGCTTTGGGACGATTACACCTCTTTAGTGGCTAGTTTAGCAAATTCTCATTCAGTGTTCTTACGAACTATATTTCTGACCACACTATATCCTCTCAGTGTGCTTTGACACAGCACTAAGCAATGTGTGCCCATGTGTACACTGTCTCATAATAGTGTACTAAGGGCCAACTTGTATTTACACAGTGGTCCTACCTTTTTGGTGCATTTGAAGTTGGTTAATTAGTTGTGTTACTATTGGGTCACGATTAGGCAAGTCATAGTCCTCAGAGACTGACTGAGATATCTGACAGTCATCCATAACATTACTGTGTTCTGTACTCTGTAAAATAAACAATGTATCACTGGAAAATATCTTCAAATATTTATACCATATAGCAAATATACAAATATTAAGTATCCCATCTTTTGTGCAATCATACTTTCAAATACATATAGAAGGAACTAATCTTTTTCAAAAGATTGCCTTACCAGAGGCCAGTGTTTGTTATCCACTACTTAAAAATGAATTAATTTCATCAGATAAAAATTGTATTGTCTTATTACAATTTCTGATGTATCTTTAACATTTTAACATATATCATTTCTTTGTAAATTATTTTTAGTAAAACACTGGTGTTCAGTTTATTTTACAATACCTTATTCTTTGCATCAAGTATTTTCTTCTTCAGCCTACAATAAAAAATAAACGTTTTTACTCCATCTTTAAATATGAATGCACAAATGATACTGAAAACTTCTTTATAATGCTAAAAAATGCATGCATTTGCTGTTTATTTCTCCTATTCATAATATTTTGGGATCATTTCCAACACAATAAGCTTCTACAAGGGAGATTCACTAATAGTGAGAACAACATTAAGAGAAAACAGGTATCCCTTGCTGTAGTCCATATCCTGATGTAACCGCAGGATTTAGGAAAATGGAAAGAAACTAGCGCTGTAAAGGAAAAAGGAGGTTGAGAGAGAGGGAGCAGAGGAGGCAGGTGTTACCAAGGGGGAAATATGGAGAATGAGGAATATTTCAACTGGGGAGGGAATATAGGTGTTATACAGGGGGAGAGAAGAAAGATAGATAACCTTTAGATGATGTAAAAAATAACAGAAAACAAAGGAAAATATAGTAGTTCAACAACCTGCTGAAGGCTATATAATAAAAACCATCATGCCCGGCAAGGTCAGGTAGTTCAAGAGACTCCCCCAAACAATCCAGGCCATTGTCAAATCCCTTGATTGCCTCCTAAACCTTGAATATAGCTCCCTATTGCTGACAATGGGACATATTTCAGGCACAGAACTTAGATCAATCCAGCTAGCACTGACCTAGAAGCCTCTTCCATGAAGGGGTGCTCTCACAGTATCAGAAGATACTATGAAAAAAACCAAGGGATAAAAAGAATCAATGATCCCATCCAGGCATAAAGTATATGAATCACAACAATGGCAAACCCCCAAAATAATCTCTATTGCTAAAGGAATGGCGCTTTTTCCTTGGGGTAATCAACAGCTATCTAATTGGACTTAAGGCCCACTCAATGGGAGGAAATTCATGTGTTGTACTATAAACATAGCCAAATAACACATGTGTAGCGATGTCATAATCCTAGAGAAAAACCCACATTCCCAGACCAATATTCTAAGCACATAACCTTATGTTTACAGACCTTATATTTACACTGTACCCCTCAGCAGTAACAAAAGAATCTTGTTGGGACATATAGAGACTATTACAAAGTTCCACAACTGGTCACATAGAAAGAATTAGTGTGTGTGATGTGCCCAGCCCTAAGCGGCACATCTATAATTCAGCCTTTATACCTAAGGCTCAGGGAACACAGCAGAGCAAAGAGCAGAAATCAGATTAATGCATCTCTCAATTCTCACCAACGTAGCTTCCTAAAGCAACAGGTCTTGATTAACACAGAAAGCCTCAGTTAGCCAGAATGCAGAGAATAAGAGGCTACAGAGTACTTATCCTAAATAGGATACCTATATCAAACCTATATCAAATGGTCCCTAAGCTTAGGGACCATTGTGGAAGATGGGGATGACCACAGGGAAACAGTTTTCCAGACATCTGGAAAGTTACTCATATGAACTCACAGCAATGGTAACAACATACACAAGATCCAAGCAAGGTCAAGTCAGACAATATTCCAGCATAGAATTGGGAAAGTGGGGAAGAATTCCCAATCTTAGCTGAGGAACTACTGGAAACTGATAACTGCTGGGTGAGGGAGAGTTGGTTTTCTTTAAGGATGTGATGCCACATAGGTTAACCAGGCTTCAGCGGATGGACCCACACCCAAGGACATTTGACGACACATATTGGACGTGACACGCTTTAATTTATGTGATGGCATGCATACAGAAATCGTGTGGAGGACGGTTAAGAGGGGTGCAGACTGGGGAGGGGGCTCAAATATCAAAATATATTGTACGAAGTTCACAAAATTTCAATAAAAATAATTATGACTAGAAGTATTTTTCCACTTCCGCTAACAACGCTGCATGAAAATGATACTTTCCTGCCCTTTACGCCCTGCTGTTAGCGCTCTAACAAGTTTTGGTTGATATAATGAGAACAATGGTGCCTCATCATGTTCTTCTGATATCAATGCAACACTGAAGATCCCTAGTAAAGGCATTAGGTTTGTTAAGTATGAACACTAGGATAATTAGAATTTGTGTATTACACTAACAACGAAACACTCTTAAATATTTCCACAGACTCACCCATCATCCTCTTCCTTTGGAACAGGAAATGGCTGTTTCTCAGTCTTCTTGCACTTGATTTGCAGAATGGATCCATTCTCAGGACTAGTATAAGAGGCTGCAGCAGCAGCTGCAGCGTCACCAGCAGCCATGTTGCCCTCACGTGACACGACTGCTGTATCCATTTCATTTCTCTGCCGTGCCTCCCTTTTTTCTTTATGCTGAAACGAAAGGTTGATACTAAAGCCACTACCTTCCAATTAAAAATAACTGATTTCCTTGAGTTTAAGAATGGATCCATTCGCAGGACTAGTATCAGAGGCTGCAGCAGCAGCTGCAGCGTCACCAGCAGCCCTGTTGCCCTCACGTGACACGACTGCTGTATCCATTTCATTTCTCTGCCGTGCCTCCCTTTTTTCTTTATGCTGAAACGAAAGGTTGATACTAAAGCCACTACCTTCCAATTAAAAATAACTGATTTCCTTGAGTTTATCACTGGGTCCAGTTCCACTGTCACTATTTTAATTAACAAAACTTTTGTGCTTAGCTTAACATTGCCATTATAGTATTTTTCTTTTTATGGTCTTCATTTGAATCATTCATTTCTATGTACAATTTTTTTTAAGTGAATCTCATTTCTATGTACAATTTTTTTAAAGTGAATCTCATACACTACTTGGAAGGCTATTAAACCAAACTCTCCACTAAGGAATTTGTGATTGGCTGTGCAACCCTCCTTTTTAATTGTCTGTGTTTGATCACGCTTTTGCTTTTGCACTTGAGGAGGTGCTGGATGGACAGGCATCACCTGTCTGGATGGACAGGCATCACCTCGGTCAAAATCCTTATGCAATTCTGGTTTCTGAGACATTTTCTTTGAGCAGATGGCTTTGAGAATTTTTTTTTTTGGTTTAATTTTCAAGCATATTGTCTGTAAGGTAATTATTTTCTAATTTCTGGTTTCTGAGATATTTTCTTTGAGAAGATGGCTTTGAGAAATATTTTTTTGGTTTAATTTTCAAGCACATTGTCCGTAAGGTAATTATTTTCTAATAAAATATATTTAATTTAAAATGAAATAAATCTAGTTTTAACCAATCAAGAACAGAGAAAAGGAAAAATTAGGAAACAAAAGTTTATCTGCTAAATTTCTAACCATGTGTTTATCTGCTCCCCAAATCTTAACAAAGCACATAGAAATAAAAATAAATTTACCTTATCCTAAGATAGAAGTAAAACATGAACAGCAATGCTATTGATAGAGTTTGGGAATGGACACAATTCATTGTGGTAAATTTACTAAAATCAAACATGTTTTTAAATTAATTTTATTTAATTTTTAAATTACATAGCTTCTCTCATAAATGTTTGTCACTCAATTTATAAAATAGTATTTACACATGCTTAATAGAATTTTGAATGTCATTTACCTAAAGTTATGTGAGGAGTAGGCAAATTTTAACCGTTTTAAGATCAGAAGTCAATTAGTCTCCATTTCAAAGGAATTCCAGTTCTTATGCTGTAATTCAAATTATGTGCTATGATAGTGTTCTGTATTTCTATGAACTAGCTAAGTTCCATCTAAGAACAGTCTAATATATACAGATATCTTATAAAGCTGGTTTATGAGCACAGGGAGGTAGAGGGCCCCAGGTCGCTGGAGGCTTGTTCATGTGGACCTGTGGTGGAGGTGGTGTTGAGGATGAGGCCCATGTCAGCTCAGTTTAAGGGGGAGGTGAGTTGTGGGCCAGTACTGGAGTGGTACCTGTTTAAGGCTGGTTGCAGCTGTATGGGGGAAGAGTGTGGCTTGCATGCGACCACTGGGTGTGCTGACTGGACTCCGATGGTTGCCTTTGCACTGAGGGATATTTGGGTGCAAATACCTGTGAGGGTGGAACTCAGCATGTATGGTTGAGTGCGTAGGGTTCAGTGGGGGTATAGGGAGAGGCATGGATTGGGGATGGGGGCCTGGACTTGAGGGGTAAATGTCTGAAATTAGAAAAACATAATTCAAAAAAGTGAGAAAAGAAAATAAAAATTTAAATGGAATGCATAAATATTCAACTTACTATGTATACATTTATAAAGTTATTATACATACATATATGTGTGTGTGTATTGCGGGGCTGCAAAGATTGCTCAGTGGTTAAGAGTACTGGCTGCTCTTGCAGAGTACCCAGCATCTATTTCCAGCACCCACATGGTAGCTAACAAATGTGCGTACCTCGAGCTCCCCAGGATCTTACATCCTCTGAACTCCGTGGGCAGTGCAGGACACATGTGAACACATCTACATGCAGTCAATACACTCATATACATAAAATAAAAATAGTAAAATATCTTAAATATATATATTGAAAAAGGCTTTAAATTTTTAATATTTATATTTTTAAATATTTTGTTTTTTAATTTTATGTGTATGAGTGTATTGCCTGCATGTATGTGGGTGCACCCATGTCGCGCAATGCCGAGGAGGCCAGAAGAGGGCTTCGGATTACCGTGGAGTTGAGGACGGTTCATAGCTGCCACGTGGGTGCTCTTAATGGCTGAGCCATCTCTCCAGCCCTCTTAATATTTATTTTTATGTGTATGAGTCCAGAAATGTACGCAAGTGCACTCATGTTGTGCAATGCCCACAAAGGCCAGAAGAGGGCATCAGATCCCCTGGAACTGGAGTATCAGAAGGTTGCTAGTCTCCATATGGGTGCTGGGAAGTGAACCCAAGTCCTCTGGAAGAGCAACCAGTGCTCTAAACAATGGAGACTGTCTAGCCTCCAGTTTGCTAAAATTTTCTGAGTTCTTCTTTGAAATTAAGTAAAGTGAAATGTTATTGTGTCCAAATATCAATTGTTCCTTTCTGGAAGGCATCATTCTCTTATAATCAACAGTGGAGGTAACTTGCGGGTTCTATTCTCCCCTATAACATAAACACTGAAATCAATCAGAGACCACAAAGAAAAATTAAAATGTTAACATTGTAATTACTGAATGTTAATAGGAATCAGCAAAATTTGAACTGTTAGGAATGATGGCCTAAAGATAAATAGAACTCAGTGGACAACAAAGTTATACTGTTCATAAATTAAATGACTTATTTATAAATTTCAAATGTAACCTTAGTTTACCAGAGATGAAATTTATATACATTGAAGCGCAAAAAATAAAAAAATTGACCCTCTCTTCAAAGGGAAAAATTCATAAGTACCTTTCTGAATACTGTATGAATATTCTAAATTTTATATCTATTTCAAAGCTTTTCAAATCAAATATTAAATTATAGATTATATATCAAAACGTGAAATTCATTTTCACTTGGTCTATGCTACATTATTAAACAAAGTCTATTAAATGAGAATTTTAAGTGGAAGCATTTACACACCAGGGGCTGACTGCTAGCGCTGTCATCCTCCCTTTTCTGTTCCCTGGAGGTCACAGGGATGTCTCGTTCTGTTGAAACATACAAACATTTAAAATGAACTACAAAGAAAATTTGAAAAGATGACAATCTTTAAAGCAAGATAGAAGTGCTTTAACATTACTGATATTAAAAATGATATTCTTAGGGTCAACAAAATGGCTCATCAGGTAAAGGTGATGATCTGAGTTTGATCCCCAGAACCCACAAGGTGGAAGGAGAGAACTGAAGATTCGAGCCGTCACCAGTGCCCTTCCCACACCCTTACACACACACACACACACACACACACGAGAACCCACAAGGTGGAAAGAGAGAACTGAAGATTCAAGCCATCACCAGTGCCCTTCCCACACCCTTACACACACACACACACACACACACACACACACACACACCACACACACATTGATAGATATAGATGATATATAGATTAGATAGATGATAGAGGATAGATGATAGATGATAGATGATGATGATAGATAGATATATGATAGATAGATGGTTGATAGAGATAGATAGATAGATAGATAGATAGATAGATAGATAGATAGATGATAGATAGGATAGACAGATGATAGGTAGATTTAAAATCACATTTTTGTTTTCAAATTTAAGAATTTGAATAAGCCCATCTTTATTGACCATTTGTTTTCTTTACTAAATATTGCTTGCAGCAATTATTTGAAATTATCAAACGTTCCAGTATTTCAGTTGGACAGACACCAGTTGGCATCATGTTGAAATGTAAAGCAGCACTAGGGGGGCAGAGACAGGTGATCTTGAGACTGAGAACAGACTGGTCTACATAGTAAGTTCCAAGCAAGCTCGGGCTACAGGAAGACTGTGTCTAAAAAAAAAACAGTGGTATCAAGGGAACAAACCTTCAGATACAAAAGTTTTGGATACCATAGAAATAGTCAGACACACACAGTACACTATCCACTTTCTCACCAGAAATGCTTAAACAACTTGCATTTTGACCTTCAAAATTATTTTTACTTTCCCTCTTTAATAAAGAAGATTTTCCTTACATCTGAAGAGAGTTTGTCCATTTCTGGCTAACTTCTTTAAGACTCATCTGTGGTGGGACGTCTTCATTGACTATGGCAATATTATTCTAATGCATGCATTTCTCTTTGGGGTTCTTAAGAACTTTATCAATTTTCCTATTGTAAAATTAATACCTGGACTTGAAATTCATTTTACATGTCCATCTCTTTTGCTCAAGGACTGGAGGTGCCAAACTTTTAAACATCATTTCCACACACTCTAGTGTATATCTCTGCCTCATTTTCCTGTGACTCCTTTTCTTGATACATTTCTTACTAACTTGCCTGTCTTCGTTGCTCTTCATTTTAACTGAATACTTTGAAAATGATTTAACACTTCAGCCACTTAGTGACACTATTATTTCTATCCTGTGCTGAACTTCACAAGATGTGAAACTTGTATCCTTTAACCTCTATTTGATTGAAATTGTGCAAACAAGAAAAACAGTAGGAAGAGATGGAATGAAGATTTACTCCACATGAATCACTGAGGAAGTCAGTGCCAGCTTGGGAATTGTAGAGAAAAGGGGAGAGAGAACAATGCTAAGTTGGAGAGTTTGGTCCAATCAGATCCTGATTGTTAATACATTAAAACAGAAATGTCTTATAATCGCCCTTGCACCAGATGTAGTTCATGTAGTTCTAGTAGAAGGAACATTAGTAAAATCTCCATTAATAGCGGAGAATGGTTTGAGAAAAAGAGTCAAAATAAGATGATGCAGGCTTGAATTTAAGGACTTC